ATGTCCCAATCCCATTGCTACTTGTTTTGGCTTCATAATGTTTAGATTCGATCAAATTATCCCAGGTTTCATGATTTTCAGGGTCTCACCGAGCAAGATTAATATAGTGAAAAATGAAATTTCCGATTTTGCTAAAGTAAAGGTACCCATGGATAGCCAAGATACGATTGTATGGGCTCCAGGTGAAACAGGTTTTCATTTCTCGGTAGTTTGGTGGGAATCGTGGTTTTGGTGATGTCCATAGTTAAGGTCAACATTATAGGCAGTTCATCCCGGGATATCAAGATTTCAACAGCGGTAGATTCTTAGTTATTTGATGGGATTGATAGAGAGAATTGAGAAGATACAAGCGCCCCTAATCAGGGATTTTGAGCTGTTCTGTTGAGGTAGGTACTTGATGATACTTAAAATCTGGGGTAATCACCGACGACAACAATAGGTCAAAAATATGAATTTCGGAATTTCAAAAGAGTAGCAGTACCAATGGATAGCGCACCCAAGGTACCATAGCGCCACGGTGTAATGTTTCAGGATTTCTTGGTAGATCTTGAGAAATCAATAATATTGCTGACAAAAAAGTTTCAGATTTGAAATTCACGATTTTTCAAAAAGTTCGATCTTGATACCAATATTGAGTCAAGAAGTTTTGAGTTGGGTGCTATCTATGTAACAACCAGTGAATTTTAACGCTACATCAATCGATTTTTAGTGTCATGTTTTTTAAGTACTATTATTTCTAGATATATGATTTTCGCTGTTGCGAAGGCCTCTCGGGAAATTGAAGTTTTTATATACATCCAGAAGTGATATCAAGAATTCCTATGGCATGTGGATTCATGGCATGCATGTCACCATAAAGACCGTCTAATGATGATTCAGAAATAGCAATTGATATAGTAATGATGTTTTATGTACTTTTTAAAATTCTTCAAAATTTGAAATTTGAATCCCAAATGGAAATCGCTACAAGAGGCTATGAGTCTCCATGACATCATTTATTAGGGTAATAGACCACGCTAAATAGCCTGGTATTTGGCATTTCCCAAGAAATGCTTTCAGTCTGTGGAAACGTCACTGGTTATGTTGATAATGGTGGTCCCCGAATTTCAAAATTGGTATTAATCACATGCTGACCCAATTGAACCAATAGAGTCTCCAAAAGTTGGATATAACTAATTTGGGGCCCAATTATACCATAGAATATGTTAATTGCTTATTAAAGTGTCTATATTGTATGGTTGTACGCCCTCAAAAGTTTCACCAGTACTGTTAAGAAGCTAAGTCCGGTTACGTCCTCGATTTTTTTGTTTTGAAAATTTTTTGCCCCTGAATGAATGTTCACAACTAAGAACAACAACAACAACAACAACAAGATCAACAAGATTAGTGATATAATGTAAGTATGGAACATTGGATCATCTATTTATACGATCAAATACTGACCATAAAGCTCTTAAGTCCATCAATCATTGAAATGAACTTGATATTCCATTAGATATTTTGGCAATGTTCAAAATGCTGAAAAGTTGTTTGGTAAATCAATTGAAGATGTATTATTTGAATGTTGTGCTCTGAAGTACCCAGTGGTTGACTCATTAAAGGATTACTTGTCATCAACAGATTGATAAGAGAATTAAAACTCAGTGGAAACAATCTCAATCACAAGTTTGGAAAGTCATAATGATATATTTGCAGATGAATCACCCCCACTCAGTAAGAAGATATCAAGGTAACTTTGAACTGGTCTAAAAGACCAACAATTGGCGATGACATGAGAGATCTGAAGAAATCACCGTCTGAATTCATGAGTGGTAATGGTTCTGAGATGTGCATATGGTATGATGGTTAGAAAATAGACTTCAATTTAAAGTGATTATATATTTCAATGACTAAAGTTAGATCACTAGAACCAATCACATCATATTTTATTAAGGGATATTGTTATTATGGATGTTATTTGGTTGTTCAATCGTTTCAACTTGGTATAAGGTCCTAATCATTTTTGGATTTCAAAAACAGGGATATATATATATGCTTTTTATAGCTGGATAAGCTGCTATACATGGAGGTTGTGTTGCTGGATCAGAGTATGTTAATTGTTTGGCATTTACGGGTTAAGGTATTTGTTGGTGGTGAAATTTTGGTGGTTATACAGTTTGGAGGTGCCACTCGGGAAAATGTAGATATATTATAGTAAAAATAAATG